TTTTGTGGATGCCGTGTTGCCCGTGTTCTATTGATCCAGCAGAAAATGCGAGACTTATAAATGCCTCAAGACGCACGCTTGGATATTAATCATCGTAAAAACTGTCGCGAGACTTACGTTTAATCTATCGTTAAAATTAATATCGAGTGTATCCTTACGTATGTGTATTAATAAATCTTACGCTGAAAAAAAGATTAACTCGAAAGGATTAAAGATCGCTCCCGATTTAAACGCTCTTTTCTCGTTGGCCGAGACGCGTTGGTAGCGCCTCGGAGATTTCACGTTCATTAGAGTGTGAATGATGACCGCGCACGGGGACGTTGCGGAAACTCTAATGCGCGTTAAAATGACGTCTTCTCCAGTGTCTGGAAACACGAGGATATAACCGCGGATGGATGTAACCGAGATGCCCGGTATCGGGCATCACTATGCCGTATATAATACGTACACGTCGTCTCGCGGTCGCGGTCCTCGAGCCTGATTATCCCGATGGAGATCCGTATCTGGTGGTAATTAGGCGTCTAATTAAACCGGTTAATTAATCACTAAGCGCGCCGTATGCGGGGACCGGACACGACGTATGGTCACCGCGACCCGATCGTCGACATTTGGAGATCGTTATGCGAAATTATTCGCGGTGAAAATTACCTATTACGTCATATTTATGTATACATTGTACAATTAATAAATTTACTCCGCATTCGACGACGAAACCTGACAGTACCGTTCGCCAGTTCGATTAGAAATCGCGAACGGAAATCGCTCGTTGCGTTTTTTACTCGGCGGAATAAGCCGCCGATCTGCTGTGAAAGGACAATCGACAATAATGCCTTTATCCGTTCGACCTGGCATCGGTCCGGCAAACTCTCTTTTTCGTCGGTGGACACACGTTCCCAGCATCAATGGGCCCCTGTCTCTCCCACATCATTTATCGATCTCTTGCGTTCCTTGTCTTTCCGATGGAAAGACTTTTCTGCGGAGGACTTTTGCGATTGCTTGAAAATAAGAATGTACGGAATCTTTATAAAACCGCGCCGTATTTTCATATTGAAATATTTTTAACACTCTCTGATCACTCATCGCACTGCTAATTATTTACGACATAATTTCATTCAATTCCTACTGTCTACCTTTTAGAAAAAACAATTCCGATAATTTGAATTTTAATTAGAAGCTTTCTGACGTATATTTTTGTTTACTTTTATCGCGATAAAACGATTATACGAACGAAGAACGATCTAAAAAATATTTAATGGTGCCGATTGAAAAAGTCGAATTTTACAAGGAGAACCTTGCACTTGGAGAGAGAAGGGGCAATTCAAGGCCGTTTACGTTATTAGTTTAATTCACGTGGCAAATCGCCTGCGCCACCCAGACGGAAAAAGACGGCGAAGAGGCATCAAGTGCGTTCGGACTGATGGCGAGCGATTAGGGCGATTTGAGTACAGGTAATTAGAAAAACGCACGTGTCCATTACCGGTGCATGTGGGCGATGCATGTGGCCGCCACGGTTTTATTGGTCACTTTGCATCGATTTATGACATGCAATACGTGACTCGCAAAAAGACAGCATCGTTCTTACTGATACCTCGCTATACAAGATATTCGAGGTACATCGTAATGTTTCTCATTAGTAAACTTCTCAATCAATATACTTTTAGCTTTTAACTTTCGTTCGTTTTTTTCCAAGTAATTTTTCTATAATTTTAAACATTAAAGTATTTTCGTTAAGCGAAGCGTGTATTTAAAATTATACAAAGAATGACGTTTATCCATTTTCATCCCTGAAACTTAATTTAAAAAGTTTCTTGGTTTTTCTATTCTTTGTAACAAGGAAATTTTGCATCGTTAGTTTGGACAAGGAAAAACTACTTCAAATTAGCCTGGTTTTTATATGGAAATATGGTTGGAAAAGGCAGAAAATGTTTGGAATAATAAATAAATAGTAAAAGTGATTTTTTAAATTTAATTTTACCTTAATGCAAAATTAATCTAAAATTAGATTGCTTTTAGATATAAAAATTTAAAAAAAATTGATATCAATAATTTCCCAGACAATATCTGTAATAAATTCAGTTCTATATTTATAAATTTAAGAAATTCACGATTAGAATTTGGAAGAGGACATACTAGACTTGGAGTATTTTGTACAAACAAGTTAAATGGGAATACATGACGATAATATATATGCGCTGTAAAAGTGTTCAAATATATCTTGAGACTGCTCGGTCGAAGTAGAAAGAAATGCGTCCAACAAAACAACATCAAAGGGTTGGGAAATCGAGATTACCGGAAGCGATGCCTAGGCAATAAAAAATCGATCGCCGTATCGCTCACAACAACCGAGAATTCTGTCGATGATAAGAGAAGTCCGACCGATGACGTCGGGCTCGTTGCCCGGCATCGTCGTTATCGCGACGGACGATTTGATTTCTCGGTCGATTTCTTATTTTGCTTCCTCGTGTTCCGCGTAAACACGGCGTCGCTGCCGCCCGCGATTTATCTGTTTTCCTCTCCGCGATACGAGAGTCGTGAGATCGGCGCGAAATTTTCCACTGTCCGACGCAGGCTGAACTGCTCCCCTGTTGCAAATAATGGAGCACGATAACTATAGTTTTGCCGACAGGCGGTCACACATACGCATGTACACACTGTACACGCATACATATACCGTAGCTTGAAACATTTCCGTTTATCGCGAAAAATTATTTTTTAATGCGATAATAATTCTTAACGGCAAGCAAATTGTTCAAGATGATTAAGTTAATGTATCTAAGACAAAGAATGCTTCGCGATAATCGAAAATATCAGACAAAATGAAAAATTGTGAGCAAAATTAAAAGGACTGCATAAAAAAAACCTGACGAATTAGACAATTTTTCTGAAATACGTATAAATCATACGCGTTAATATTGGAAGGTATTTACGTCATGTACGAATAAGCTTGAAAGACATTATGAAATTCGAGAACAAGAACGAGAACGAGGAATCGAGTCCCATAGGGTCGATTCAGATTTTCATGCCGAAGGAGGAAGATTCCTCCGCACACCGGGGACTATTAAATTTATGGCTTCTCCCTTCGTCGAAGGGGGAGACGATAACATGCATAATAAGCGCGCCCAGATAACGGGTGACGCATAAGTTACGGCCTCGCGATAAACGAGGCCCATGCATACCGTGGAAGGTTACCCATGGTCGATGGTCTAAGGACCACGGGACTTACTACCCAGGAAGTTCTTTTAAAATATTATACCACGACGAGATTAAATTAAGTTCAAACAGGTGGACAACGCGGAGATATAATCGAGAGTGCAGTTATTTTTATTAATATTTATTTGATAATGATTTAATTAATAATTTATATAGCGCAGTCTCTTTAATTGCCTTTTTTTTAGAAAAGTGTATAAAGAGATATTCTTCTATTTATAATTCCATTTGATTAGATTAGAAATATAATTCATATATGAATCAGCGTCAAATAAAAACATGAAGATATAGTGTATAGCAACTATATTGTATTGTTATGTCTGACATCCGCGAATCAATGTAATCCAGCTAAACGTGAAAAAATGCAAATATTTGCATAGATTGTATCTAAACTGTACATATTTTCTTTATAATTAATCCATTTTCAAGCAGGAATATTGACACTCACTTCATTTAACTTCCTGAAGAGAGTAATCTAAGAAAAACATGCCCTCGCTTAATTTAATATGCAAATTATCAGCTACGCTCGTGTTTCCCGTGAATCCAACAAAGAACTGCACCGACGTAATCTCTCATGTCAAGATACTCAATAATCAATTATTATTTATACATATCGACGTTCAAGCTGCGTGTATACCGATAGAGTCGCAACTTCGCAATATACTCGAACCATGGGATAATCTTTTGTCAATTTACTTTAACGTAGATTTGTATTCGCTAATCGCCGTAGTTGTGCGAATAATATTGAAATATTAAATATCTGCGATAAAGCGCCAAATTTCCGTATTGAAAATGCTTACGAGGCGTGCTTACATATATATCTCGACAAAAAAACATACTATGTTAAGTTAAATACTCTACCGTTATTATTATTATTATTATATATGATGTGTCTTCATCGAATGCGCTCGCGCAGATTTAAGAAGCGACTCGATTGAGTAATAAAATGTCCATTATCGATACTTTGACTCGGTCAACGCGGTACTTTAATCTTTATTATTCAAGATTTCTAATACATAACAATCGGCCGTTATTATCTAAAGACCCTCATCGACAAAGAATCATTAATTCTTAAATACTCGCGTCGGTCAATTCAGTTCTCGAATAATACGAATGTGAGCAGAATTCTGCTCTCGTATTATTTTATAAAGAAAAATGAAAGAGCCATAATGTGAGGCTGGTTTCTGCTGTTCCCCTTTATAAAAGATTAATTGTTAAATTCCTAAATCCGTCTGGAAGCGAGAGAGAGAGAGAGAGAGAGAGAGAGAGAGAGAGAGGGAGAGAAAGAGATGATCGTTTACACCGTATCTGTGTATCTTTTTCTACGCGAGTATATTTGGGAGTTAACATCTCCATTCGGCGCATTCCTCGCGAAAAAAAGAACGAGCAGATTATCGACGGTGACAATGCCAAATCAGATATGTATCTAGACGGGATTCATGGGCTTCGTCGCACATCTTAATCGCGGAAGTTCGCTTTCTTTTTCTCTCTCTGGTCAGGATCGGTGTCTTCACGAAGCGACATCGCCGCGCTTATCTTCCTTCGCTATTGGAAGCTATCGGCGGGGATAGACGCTGAGACTCCGGGGCGATTCTGAAAAACGCGACCTGCTCTCCCTTCTCCCTTATCTCTCATAGGTCTTCGTCTTCCGCCACTCGATTTATCTCGGAGCTCGCCTTAGCGGTTTCCGCTCGTTTACCCGCGCGCTTAATTTATTTCCCGTATCTCTTGAAATCTTAATAACGTCGCGGGTCCGAGAGCTCGGAAGCGTACGGAACCGGGAGAGGACTCACCTTGCGGATTTCTGCGGATACTGTCCTCTCAGGCGAACTGGCACGTTCCCGCCGCCATGGTCAACGGGTACTTCCGCCTCTTCGAACGTGCATCCGTCGCGCTACTATCACGTGCTCCGCGGGATGCTGCTGAAAGAGTAAATACATCGAAGATGGTTAGGAAAGACTCGATTCAAGAAAGTCGAGTGTAGATAGATTTTCGTAATATAAAGCTGCTCATTAATGAGTTATGCAATACAGAAGTATTTCTATTTAGATATCGTACTTTTTTTTTAAGTCGTAAAAAGCTATAGTGTACATAAAACTTGGCATACATTTGTATAATAATATCTAAAACTCGCGACGAAAGACTAATGGCGATTGAACGAGTTATGAGGGTCGCGCGAACGAGGGTGCGATAAGCGAGATTGTATATCATTAATCTCAAATCTGACTATCATCCAGTGGTTGCACGAGAAAAATATCGATGACGAATCATCCCTTCGATACTTTTCCAGTCCGACACGACGTGTATCTATAATAGGCTTATCGCTGATTATATATTTAAGAACGTCTTATCGTGACATTTATATATTTCTTAAACCACTTCAGTTTTTATCGATTTGACACAATGACGTGGGAAGTCAATGATCTCAAGGATCTCACATAAGGATTGTATAGGTTTAATATTTTATATCTCCCCCAAAAAAGATAGTGCAGCTGTCTCAAAAACAGGTGCGAAGGTCCACCATATGTTAATTAACAGCTTTTCGCTCGCCGAGAATCTTTAGCTGATTTAATTTACAACTAATGTAAGTACGTCGCATTTTTTCCGTGATTACAACCATATGCACATTTTAGTTTCATTATCTTATATCAATTTTATTATATTACCGAATGTCCAACTGATTATCATACTAATATTCGATAAAGTTTTTAATTTTTTAAAATTGTTAATTGAGTCATTTTAGGTGAGTACTTCCACACAAAATAAACGGACTATTTACTAACTAAAAACAAAAGAGCATAAGAAAATACACGATCAAAATATTCTGGGATTAAAGTTTACGAAGCAGACTGTCTCCTGAATATGCAAATTAAACTCCTTCCGCCTTTACGGATTTCGAGGAAATCGTAAATTTACTAAGCCGAAACACTCGCGTGTCAAAAGTCACAAGCTGCACCGAACTTGCACTCGTTATCCCTTTATTTAGACCTCTTAACCTCACCTTTATGACGCAAATCGTTGAAATCATTTTAAATCCGTCACTTTATGTCGCTCGTGCACCTGGTAAAACTCGTTTCTTCGTATATCTGATATCCAATTTATATTAACTTTATGTGATTTAATTTATGTTATTTCGATTATTGATTCAACAGATTAATACTCAAAAAGGTAAAAAAATAGAGCAAAATTCCATTTTTATTTAATATATTTATTCAAATTTGTATTTATATATCTAAATGATTTGTTCTGCGTTCAAAACTACAAAAAGGATTTTGAAAATAATAAAAGTTGCATTGTCATAAATTTAATAAAATGACAATATGTCATAAATAATATGAAAATATGTTATTATTCATACATATTTATAATGCTAGAAATAGCTAATCTGCCTGAAACATTTCTGTTATAAATATTTACAAAACTTTTAAATAACAAGGCAATATAAGTCATCAATTACGAGGACAGTCTAATAACATTTAATAGACACTTTAATAGGTTTAAATAATTTAAAATCGAATTATAATGCTATTTTTAAAACAATCGTAAAATATATCGAAGATCTTGATGCATCAAGAGCAGCACGGTTAGTTGAGGGTTGTTTATATCGGATGCTCGATTGGAACGTAAGCAGCGATAGAAATATGCAGCGGTCAAATTTGCATACAGTGGCCGCAACTGACTGTCGGGCCTCGCCGCCGTAATATTTATGAGATACGACTTCCTTCGATTGTTTGTAGCTACGTATAAGTAACATCGTCATTCTATGGTCATAATTTTGCGCTGAAATCGCTGATAAGTTTCGACACAAAGGCAAATAATAAATTATTCACAGTAAAGCAAGTAAAATTCAAAAGTTATAGATTATGTAACAAATAAACGAAAAATGATCGAAGTATATCGTGCGTTATAGGCAAAAAAGTTTATTAATAAAATTATAAAAAAAGATATTTGAAATAAATGCTTTTAAATACCTACTCGTAATTGCACACGAAACGCAAAAGTTCCCTATTACATAATACAGAAAAAAAATACAAAAAAATCTATGTGCCTAATCAAAGATTTTTATAAATACGATATCGATAACGAACGACATGATCTTAGACGCGATAATTCGAGCGAATCAATTAAAGTTTGCGAGACGCGTTTATGAATATTCCATGCACGAGATTCATCGATTACGGCCGCTACTCGATACTTCTTGCCCGAGCTTCATCGGATGAATAATCGCGTCTTTTATTTAGCGCTCGAGGACACGTTACTCGGATGATTTATAACTGGAACATAAGATTTAATTTCCATCGTCGATTACCGGCACAAAGTTAATGTGTCTATTAAGAGAGTACCCGTGCGGCGCGGCCAATCGAAAAAAAAGTTCTAACCGCAAGATAGATTGCGACATTACCCTTGATTAATGCGCACTAGAAAATTCACGCGAGCATTACGAGCGCGGTAATCGAATCGTCGCTCTATGCGTAATCAGACCGGTTGTATGTCGATGTAATAATGCGTGCAGAGAGATTGGAATTGCATGGAATTTTGTACGGAAATTTCCCCTTGCAATCCGAGGCACCCTCCGTAATATTTCTATCGCAAAGATACATTTTTCTCTTTATGTATACACTCTGTCTCTAGTCTCTACTTCTTTATTTCTGCAACAATCTTGCTATTAATAAACCACATTCTGTTCTATACTTCTATAAATAAAGATCGCACACGCGATTTTTGTTTATAAAAGCATTAAAATTTCGAAATATTTTTATCTTTATTAATTCACTGTCACACCACTTTTAGATAATTTTTATGATTCTCTCCTGAGCCGAATCCAAGCAAACGAGCAAACGCAAATAAACAATTTGCATCAACTGCACTCATTGAACCAAGTTCATTTATTCACGCTCGCTTCCTTGTCTTTAAAGAAGTAAAAAAATTGCATTTAATTGATATCCATATAGGATTTCTGAAATTATTTGGAATAATATAGAAGATTAAAAATATCGCGATACACATAAGAGCGTTATTCAATTTTTTTTAAATTAATTTCTGGGCAAGTAAATTAACCGCAGTTCACTATGATTATCTTCTCATAAAGACAAAATAGTCTTTTCTTTTGCTTTTCAAAAAATTCGTCTCGATATTCGCATCTCATGCTCCGTCGCTTGGAATTAAGGATCGTCGGAGCAGCTGCCGACCTGTGTGCAGCGGTATTGCGGTTACGCAAAGGCGCATAGGCAATGAAATGCAAACAATGCTTTCTTAACGTGAGTTAGAACCGAGCGCCGCGCGCACCGTGCGCGCCGCCGAGATGCACCTCCTCTTCGATCGTAAACAATAATAACAATATTTGTGTCCGCGGCACACGTGAAAGACGCATCCCTTTCGCTCGTCCGTATGCACGATGCTGCGGGCACGCGAGCACATATATGCAGCGGCGTAATAACCCTGCGGCGCACATTGCAGGCTCCGATTTGCGTTTCTAATTACGACGTACGTATTCGCGATTTGGCAATAAAGCCAGGTAGCGTTCGGCAGATTGTCTTTCAGTATAAAATTATATCTTACTCGTAACGCGCAAAACTCTTTTGCTCCAAAAATGGGACGATATGGCTGTTAATGGGGGTTAAACAAAAGTCGGGACGAGCAGTCGGGGTACCGCAGGGAATAGCTTACAGCACTATGCATTTGTTTGTATGCGTTGCCTTGTGTGGGTAATGTGTATGCATACACCGGTGTGGACACGCACACAGCGCGCCGGTCCGCATTCCACGAGTGGAACAACCGGTACACCACGATTCAGCGGCTCTCATCCGCGAACGACGATGGGCGACGACGTTGTCCGCCGACAGTGAGAAGGTGCGTTATGCAACGAACGAAGAAGAAGTCAGTGGCCCGGCAAATTCGCGGAAGATGAGATGGCCTTCCGGGGTCTCTTACTCTTCTTTTCTTTCTTTTCCTCGCGTCCCTCCGGCTCGCGCGCGCCCGCGCCGCCGCCGCGCCGGTCGAAATCGAAAGTCGCGCACGAAAAAATCGAGCGAGCCCTTCGATCCTGATGACGGACTCTCCTCCAAGAGTGTTCTGTTAATACTGCAGTTTCCACTATTTACTCTTGATTGAACTACTAGCTCTATCTCCCAGGAATAAGTGTAACGAGCCTCTCCTCTCTCTCCTGTTGCTCAAGTATATATTATCAGGAGTTTCATGAATGCATAAACTTCGATTTAATTCGATAATTGTAAGCAATGTTTGGCGAAGAATATCAAGAATAGCATAGAGTCTAGCAAACAAGCATTTTTTTTTTAATGAGTGAGTAAATGAAAATTGTAGTTTGAGCTTGTACAGACAACAAATAAGCGAGATCGGGGCTATATGGCTATATGGGGTATGTTGTCCATCTTGAGAGGAACAGTGGAAAAAAAATTTGAAATGATACTTTTAGATTCTAAAAATCCATTTCATGATTTTTTATCCATCACTCTCTGTTCCTCTCAAGATAAATACTAAAAAATAGCACATAGACAACATACCCCGCAGTCATATAGCCCCCCGGTCTCTCCTATATACGCATACATTTCGTAATTCTTATTTTCAACATTTTTAAATCTTAATTAGCTTTATTTAGTACTTATATATAATCAGAAAGACATGAAGAAGAAGCGAAATAATAAAGCCTAAAGGTAAAAATATAACGACTATGCATTCTCTGATTTTCATCCGCTCGATAATTTTACTTTCGAAGGAAACTGCCTTAATATAAAAATGTTCGATAAATGCAGAATTATTTTCAATATTGCTTGCCGAGGAATTTGCTATTAAGACTCGCTTTTCGAAGAAGAAATTTTAATTGCGCACGCTTTACCAATTCCCGGAGAGAGAGCTTAATCGATCTCGAAGCTTCATCGCGGTGCAACAATGACGGCTGTAACAG